CCGTTGCTCTTGGTCCCACCTATGTTGTGCAGCTTTCAGTGCCCCGTTGGCTACCCGCAGCAGGGACACAAACCCTTAACCCGTCCCCTTTAGGCGCGCACGTTCGCCGGCAGGGAATGCATGAGACCGTTCAAGGCCGAGACGCTGTACAACAGCTTGGACTGCTTAGGCAATCTCTGGCCCAGGTTACTCCGGACATCGAAAGCCCCACCCCGAAGTTTCCAAGTGCCGCCAAAACGCCGTGTACTCGCGGCCTTCATGGGTGACCGTCTTCTGGTGGCGGCTGGGGTCTTTGTACTTCCCTCGCGAAGCGGGCGCCGGCAGGTGATGCTGCAGCTTGCCGTTTGCGGGCTCGCTGGACCTCCCTGCCTGGGCAAGATCTCGCCGATGTGCCCTTGGCCGGCTTCGGTGTGCCAGGGCGGCAAAATGCGGCAAAGCCTGTCTCTCTATATTGATCCTTTACAATGTCGAGCTTTATCTCTATCTGCAGCTCTGTCGTTATCTCTGTTGTCATCTCGATCTTGATATCTATATCTTGAAGTATTCGGGTTTCACAGCACTGGCACAGGCTCTCCACTGCTGTCTGGTCCACAGAAGGTCTACACGAGGACACACGTACGCATCAGAGGAGCAGCTTCGGCCGTTTCTTAGGGGCCTCGATCGCCCCATGGCAAAGCGGCAGGTGGTCCTATTTAACATCTTGGACTTCACAGTAAGCAACTCTTGTATCAGCTGCTCAGCTCTCTTGGCCAGGGCTTCGAGGGGGGGTTCCTGAGTTTACTGCGGGCAGGCTGTCGTAGTCATGCAACTGCAGGGACCAGCAACGGGTTCTGCTATCCTACGTGGGATTTTTGGAAGGCCTGCACGAAACTCCCGGTTTGGGCCGCACCAAACCGAGAAACCACAAGACAATCCTGAAGCGCTTGCAAACATTGGAGCACTCCGCCGCGATCAATGTCCTTGTCTGGCCGCAACGTCTCGCCGTCAGTCGTCTTCGCATCCACCTTCGACGTGTTCTTGGAGCGGAGAGTCATCTCGTGTTTAAACTTTCTCCAAAGAAGGCTCGGACAACAGCGGGTCCACTTTTGCGTTGACGAGTCGTAGACGCACATGCTGCCGGCCAGGAAATCGTACTCTAGGTCTCGCCAGCTAGCCCCAGCCTCTCTGGCTGATGCGACGGTTGTTGCCATCTTGTACGCTTCGTAACGCTTCCAAGCTTGGGCGCTTTTTTCTTAGGGTTGGTCGCCTGCCAGGATAGCTTCTTGTCGTTGAACAGGTCCAAGTGCTCGTTTTCAACGACCACGGGGTTCGCTGGAGTCGCCATGCTAAACAAGAAAACAAGGCTGGACGCTTTGCTCGCTCTGTCTCTGGCCTAGATTCGAGCCAGGTTGTACAGCAAGACTGCTGCACCTCTTTCCAGATATACAAGGCTATGTGTACACGGCACACCTCTGCAGACATAAAACGGTCTCGAGCTGCGTGGTCCTGCCTGGCAGAGGACTGGCATCTGTCAGCTCATCCTAAACCCTGACCCCTTAATTATATCCCTGCCGCCCTAAGCTCACGCGAAACGTGTATGCCCCCCTCAACTTCAGACCGCGCAAATCCTCGCAAGACCGGAACCGGCAAGCCATGCCAAAGACAGCGCCAGACGATTCGGCTACCAGAGGTTGTCACGGGCGAGATTCCCACAACCTTAAACCCCAAAACCCTTAGCTTGCGGTTGAGGGTTTGCGTTTCAGGGTGAGGAGTGTCGGGTTTTGGGGTTTGGGATTTCCGGTTTAGAACCGCTTAGTGTTTGAGGCTTGACTTTAGGGCTTGAATTGCGGGACCACTGAGGAGAAGGCAGCCCCTACTTTATCAATTGCCCTTTATCATATACTTCCCCTATAGAAACATATAGAAACCATATCCTAAACCCCTGGTCTCAAAGAAAGCCCTGAATCTAAAATCCCTAAGTCCTAAAGCCCTAAGCACAACACCGCTGTACATCTATCTGAAACCCCGCGACGAAAAAAACCGTAAACCTAAAAACCCCAACTCTTGCAGCCTTAAACACAACACGGCTGTGTACCCCCTAAGAAAGCCTGTTCTAAAGCCCGGTCCCAAAGAACATCCTACACCTAAAAACCCCTAACTCCTAAATCCCTAAGCACAACACCGCTGTATACTCCTAAAGAAATCTTATCCTAAACCGCTGGTCCCAAAGAACACCCTTAACCTAAAAGCCCTTTTTCCCGAAGCCCTGAACACAACACCACTGTAGCAGTAAAACCTTGTCCTGCAAACCTGATCATAAAGAACACCCTACACTTAAAAACCCTAAGTGGTAAAGCCCTAGGCATACCTTGAAACCCCGCCTACGGCTACGGTTTGATTTGTTTCTCAGCGTGAAGAACCACTTTAGTGCTAAACTTCTGCTTCTGGTATTAAGAGTCTGTTTCACCCAAGCACTAACCTGTGTGATCCACCTTGTTTGCTCTGAACTGCCACTGCCACTGCCACTGCCACGGCCACTGCCACTGCGACCGCTACCGCTACCGCTACCGCTGCCACTGCCGCTACCGCTACCGCTACCGCTACCGCTACCGCTACCGCTACCGCTGCCGCTGCCGCTGCCGCTGCCGCTACTGCTGCGCTACTCCTACTACTCCTACTACTCCTACTACTCCTACTATTCCTACTACTCCTACTCCTCTTCCTTCTTCTGCTACGACGACGACTACATGTATGTAATCGAAGCCTTACGCACTACCTCCAGCAGAGCATTTGGGACTTTGGGCTTGGAATCGCCACCCCAGACCCTAAACCTTAAGCCTCAGTTAAACCCTACACCACAGCCATGCAAGTCCTGTGACACAGCCGCGCCACGCTGCCCAGCAAGGGCACTCGCATGGTGATGGGTAATCAGATCATCATGTACAGCAGACGATTCTACGGTTTAGGGCCGGTGAGGGCTCAGGGCTCAGGGTCTTGGGTTCAAGGAGCTCCTTCTAGGCTAAGGGCGCTGCGATCCTTTCGTGCATTCCTGGCTTCGTGCGGCGCGTGCTATCTCTAGGAGTCAGGAAGTTGAGATTCCGGGCTTCAGATGCTACTTCAAGGATCATGGGACTTAGTAACTAGGGTTATAACTAGGGTAACTATACTTATATGCCCAATTCAGGTACTTATAACCTTACCTACTAAGTCCCATGATCCTCCAAGTAGTTTTGGGAGGCTTCGGATCATGGCTCCTTTTTAGGTCCTGTTTTTCGGACTCACGGGGTTCCATGGATACAACCCGACAGTTTGTTCGTTTCGACGGCTTCGGCATCATACAAGCCTCGCCTTACGGCTATGGGATGGGCCATTTTAGCCTAGACTGCCAGCTCTGATTGAGCTCAGCTGGATGGCCCCGAACTGTTCGTGGCTGCTGGCACAAAGCAAACCCGTAGCCAGTGTTACCCAAACTGACACTGGCAAATGGTATAACGCATGTAGCATCGCCAGCACGAGCGGCAACAGTATTTGCACAAGCGTAACACTCAAAGAACAGACACCATCGCATTGAGTGTAGGCAGTAGAAGGGACTTTCACAAAGAAATAACTGCAGTTGACAGTAACCGTTTGAGTGATGGTGGTCATGACAGGAGGAGCAGGAATATCAACGGCAGCTCCATAACACATATAACTCACGGCATCATGCTACAACCAGTTGCAGCGACAAGATCAGCAAACGATAATCGTAACGGAGCATCGTGTCAGCAATTGAGCTAGTAGCAACAACGCCACTGTGTCCAAATTGGCTGGAATTGACAAATACAAGCGCCTCAACAATTGGAATAGCATTTTGGGGCCCCCTATAACTTTAATGTAACTAAGAAACCTCGGGAATCGTATTGGAGATTATTCCGGCCCCTACGTGACTTACGAAATGATCAGGGACTGTGTAAGTAGCGCTTAACTTCCCGAAAGAACGAGGGCACCGTCACAGCTGTCGTGGTAGCAGGAGTAGCAATAGTCGTCGTCGCAGTAGCACTCGTAATTAGTACGAGTAGCACTAGCAGTAGTAGCAGTAGTAGCAGTAGTAGCAGTAGTAGCAGTAGTAGCAGTAGTAGCAGTAGTAGCAGTAGTAGCACTAGTAGCATAGTAGCAGTAGTAGCAGTAGTAGCAGTAGTAGCAGTAGTAGCAGTAGTAGCAGTAGTAGCAGCAGTAGCAGAAGTAGCAGTAGTAGCAGTAGTAGCAGTAGTAGCAGTAGTAGCAGTAGTAGCAGTAGTAGCAGTAGTAGCAGTAGTAGCAGTAGCAGCAGTAGCAGCAGTAGTAGCAGTAGTAGCAGTAGTAGCAGTAGTAGCAGTAGTAGCAGTAGTAGCAGTAGTAGCAGTAGTAGCAGTAGTAGCAGTAGTAGCAGTAGTAGCAGTAGTAGCAGTAGTAGCAGTAGTAGCAGTAGTAGTAGCAGTAGTAGCAGTAGTAGCAGTAGTAGCAGTAGTAGCAGTAGTAGCAGTAGTAGCAGTAGTAGCAGTAGTAGCAGTAGTAGCAGTAGTAGCAGTAGTAGCAGTAGTAGCAGTAGTAGCAGTAGTGGTAGTGGTAGAGGTAGTGGTAGTGGTAGAGGTAGTGGTAGTGGTAGTGGTAGTGGTAGTGGTAGTGGTAGTGGTAGTGGCGGGGTAGTGGTAGCGGTAGCGGTAGTGGCAGTGGCAGGGTAGTGGTAGTGGTAGTGGCAGTAGCAGTAGTAGCAGTAACAGTCGCAGTGGCAGGAGCAGTAACAGGAGCAGCAGCAGGAGTAGTAGTATCAGCACTACTGATAGTGACAGTAGCTACATTCTGCAATCCAAACTGCGGCCAGCGTCACAGTCGCAATAAGCATCAGGATACGGGTGCTGACAAAAATCAATAACAAGACCAGCAACGGTAGTTAGAGCAGTCAGTTATAAAGAGCCGCTGCCCTCGGCGATCGCCATGCTTTCGGTTCTTTTGGCTCAAGCACCCAAACCCAAAATACCCCGTAAAACAAACAGCAAAGGTACCTGAAGTTCAGCTCCCGCGCCAAGTCGAACCTGGGCGTCGAGACTCCAGATTCCATGGACTCTGATTGAAATCGTTGGCAGCCCTACTTGGAGGTTCATGGGTAGTTATAACTGGGGTTATAAGTCCCCTAATATGGGTTATAAGTATGGTTACCCTACCCTACTTATAACCCACGTATAACTACCCATGAACCTCCAAGTATCACGTTCGAATCCGAAACGCTATATTGATGACAGGGTCACTGATGTAGAAAAGGTGTGAGCCAACTCTGCGAGTGAGCAGCGTCAGCGGGAGCGCTGAAGAAGGGAGATTTATGAATCTGGACTCTGCGTTGCACCATAGCTATATGACGCCAGCCCCGAGAGTACCCTTTTATAGCAACCCTCATGGTAACCCTTATAATAACCACACTCGACCGTAGATGCTAGGACCTTAAACTTAAGGAACCCTGATGAAGGAAGCCTGTGAACACCCTGTTACGTGAACCCCAGTAGGGAGCAGCTCGAATACAGCGGCCTTATAATCAAAATAGGGTTTTGGGGCCCACCATACCATAACCACGTTAAGGAACCCCCACAATAGTATTGGTAATTATCTGGGTCCCTGTATTTATAATTAGGGCAACTATACTCATAACCCCAATGAAGGTACTGATAACCTTACGTACTAAGTCCCATGAACCTCCAAGTATGGATGTTTCGGATGCAGTTTCGATTTCTCAACAGTGGTTGTGGCTCAAGTTTGGTGGGCTGCTCTTTGCTGATCAGGCGTGTGAACTTTCGCCGAGTGGCTCAGATTTTTGGTAGGGGTGCAACCTCCTATATTTGCAGCAGCAGCAGCACCAGCAGAAACAAGAACGACCGGGGCGAAAAGAACCGCAACTGCAAGGAGGGTCCATCCTTTAGTGTTCCTCTTTCGGGTTCCTTTGATCGGTTCAGTATGGGTGCTTAAGAAGCTTAGGGACTTCTAGACCTACTTGGTAAGTCCCTTGGTCGCTTTCCACATCATGTAGACGGCTGAATACCCGAAAACCCTTTTGAAGTGGCCCCATACGAAACCCTTCTAGTCACCATTATAGAACCCTGAAACAAGGAACCCTCAAAGGAATCCTTTTCTGCATCTTAGGAAGGCACTAAGTAACTACCCTAAACCCTCTAACCCGGATAGTAACCCTTTAGAGGAAGCCGCAAAGCAAACACCAAACCCTACCTGTAGCCCAAAAGACCTAGAAACCATATTAAGGAACCCTAAAAAGTACCTTTCTAGGGTTCCTTATTCAGGTTTCTATATTAATAATAAAAATTCTTAGAAAGGTAGGTCTTGCCGGCCACAGGTACTTAGAGGTTTATGGGTAGTTGTAAGTGGGTGTATAACTCGGGTAACCATAATAATAACCCATATTAGGGGACTTATAACCTCACTTATAACAACCCTAAAGCCCTAATCTTTAAACCCTATAGAACCCTTAAAGGAACCCTTAAACTCCACTTCCAACTACCCATGAACCTATACCCTCGTAGAATCCCTATAGATCCCCTTAAAAGGGACCCTTTATAAAGGAACCCATTAAGTAAACCTGACTTGTTGACCTAAGCGGCTCCTCCAAGGATTCCATCGGCGAACGCCGAGGTCGAGCCGGAACCCATTGCCAGGCTCCGAGGAGCGCGTAGGGTCTCAGGGATTCCTGTAAGGACTCTATAGAGTTTAGGGTTTAGGGTAGAGAGAGGGTTTGAGGACTCCTTTAAGGGCTCTGTAGGGTTTGGGGTATAGGATTATGAGGGATTCCTTTAAGGGCTCTATAGGATTTTTATGAGGGATTCCTTCAAGCGCTCTATAGGGTTTAGGATTATGGGGTTTCGGGGTCTCAGGGTTACTTGAAGGGTTAGTAAAGAGTTGCAGGAAGGGTTAGTCTAAGGGTCACTCTAAAGGTTGCTCTAGGGGATGCCAGAAGGGGCTTCTGGGTTTGCTTTCGGGCTTAACCGGCTTAAGGATTTGGGGTTTTCCGGTGTTTGGCTTTTGGGTCAAGGGTTTTAGGCTTTCGGAGTTAGGGGTTGAGGTTTGTTTAGTTTAAAGCCTTCGGCTGTAAGGTGATGGAGTTTACGCTTCAGTTTTTTGGGTTTAGAGTTTAGGGGTTTAGGGGTTCAAGGGTTTCATCCGAAACCCACGGACCACCACCCCAGCTGGAAGGATCGACTGATATATATTTGATGCTCTAGCAAAATGCACGATGCTATCTCGCAATCTGAGAGCCGGCTCTCACTGAAATCAAACAGCTGGCAAGTTCATTGCAGATGCCCTGCGACACCAGTGATGTGACGTTCGGTGACGGATCCTGAGCACCGTTTCGGACCTAGGGTGGGGTGTTGCAGTTGCTGACAGACTCGAGGGCTTGTATCACACCGCAAACAAAATCCCGAAAGATTGGCAGAAGTAGCATGGGCAAAGCACGCTGCAATGGTCGTCGACATGTTCGACTAGGAGGATCCCCGTGAATAGCAAATGTAGTACAAAACGCGGGGTTCTTGTTGAGAAAGACTTGCAGTTACCATATACAGCAATCAGATTAATGTAGGGGCCTGAAGAATTACCTATACTATTTTGGGAGTACCTTATTATAACTATAGTATACTATACCCGCAACAAAAACATTTCTAGTTATAAACGCAACTATATGATGGAATCCTATTATAGACCCCTTACAGTAACCCTTTAAAGGGCCCCTTCAAAGGGGCCCTATTCTAATTATTAAGGCCCTTACATTTTGCGATAGATCCCGCTTGGAACTTAAGCTGAGCTACTCAGGAAGAGTCCAGTCACCGAAGCCTGGGCCCCCAGCTACTGTAAGGGCCCTAAAAGATTAGAATAGGTCGACAATAGGGTTCTATACTATAGGGCCCTAATAGTTAGAACAAGGTTTTGGGGTGTATATTATACCATAATTATAATAAGGAGCCCCCCAAAGGAGTGTAGGTAATTATTCAAGCCCCTGTAGTACTTTTCCATGCAAGCCAACAGCCAGCTCTTCAGGAGTCCAAGAGCAGGGGCGCCGAGGCTCCCAGCGCCTCACGAGCCCTAGCCTGCTGCGAAGCTCGAACACAGGCGATGAACATGAAAGCGTCGTCAAGGCCTTGCTTGGAGGATCATGGGATTTAGGGTTTAGGGTTTAGGGGTTTAGGGTTTAGGGTTTAGGGGTTTAGGGTTTAGGGTTTAGGGGTTTAGGGTTTAGGGTTTAGGGTTTAGGGTTTAGGGGTTAGGGTTTAGGGTTTAGGGTTTAGGGTTTAGTAAGTGAGGTTATAACATGTTACAACTACGTTGATTGGAGTTAAGTATAGTTATCTTACTTATAACCCTAGTTACCAAGTCCCATGATCCTTTAAGTACTTGTCCGGTATCCTACTTAGATGTTCCCGAGTAGTTATAACTGGGGTTACAAGTAGGGTAACCATAATGATATTAACCCATATTAGGGGACTAATAGCCCTACTTAGAAATACCCATGAACCTTCAAGTAGGGGAACTAAAGGCTAATCCTTGGGATTGTATAATCTAGGGACGATAGTAGACCAAATAAGTGCAACGTTACCTTCTCGACTACCAAGAGGCCGAAGAGGAACGGACCCAAAGTCAAGCCAGCGTAAGCTCGACGTCGACGTCGGGGTTCGGGTTCAAGCTGGACCTCCTCGACGAAGTGGCGGCTCATCTTTGCCAGAAGGTGCCACCATGCCCCCAGAGCTACGACGGAGAACACGAAGTAAATAAACTCCCAGAACCTGTATCCTGGCCAGCCCGAACGCTTCACGACGCAGTGCCACGGTACGTAACTCACGAGGAACACATAGACAGACAAGCCGAGAGCGAGTATCATGAGACTAAAGGCTTCAGCAATGTCCCCGTCACTTATCTCTGTCAGTGCAACGGCGAGGACAAAGGAAAGGGCGCAGAACAAGTGACAGACGCAGTGCAACACGCTCCAGTCTTGAAAAAGCTGCTGTGGGTTGGGCGGATTCACGTCGAACATGCTGAGCACAAGCTTCGGGGTGCGCAGCAATGAAGCATATTCCAAGAAAGTGGACCTTTCCAGATCGGTCGCCATGGCTCAGCAGGGGGCCCAGGATTCCCTAAAGAGAGACTCAAGAAGGTTTATGTTTTCTCGTAAGCTAGGCCTTCTATCCTTCGTCTTTGACGGCGACGATGTCAAAATTGTCACAACCCTAAACCCTAAACCCTAAACCCTAAACCCTGCGACAGCCCGGGGGCCCTGGGAGGCGCCTTTCCGAAGCGTCGCAAAGTCAGAGCACGGCGGCAGGCGAGTGCGCACACGTCTGGCACAGATCGTCTGGGGGTCCTCATAATAAGGATCCTGCTATTTGGGGTACTATATTAGAGTCCCCTATTTTCGGAAACTCCCAAATGCAGATCGTCTCCAAACTATGACCTGCACTAAAGAGTAGACGTGAACAGAGATGCAGTGGCAAAAGCCTCAAAATCCTGAACCCTTCATGAACCCCACAAGACTCCTCCGGTCTACAACCCGTAAGCAACACCACCTCCAACACCAGGGTGACGACGACGATAACGCCAAAAGCCGACGATGACGTCGACACCGACGCCGATGCCAACGACCACGAACACGACCACGACAACAACCAGTGCTGTTCCTACTACTACTACTACTACTACTACTACTACCACCACCACTCCTCCTCCTCCGCCTGCTACTACTTCTACTCGGGCAACCACTACCGCTACCATTTCTGCCACCACTACTACCAGTGATACACGTAGTGAAAACTTCATAGTCCTACTACTGTCCAGCAGCAGCAGACCAAGAGTTGCTTTTTGGAAACAAACGGGAGTTTCCGGAAATTAGGGGTACCATATTTTGGGGTCCTTATAATAAGGATCCTGCTATTTGGGGTACTATATTAGAGTCCCCTATTTTCGGAAACTCCCAAATGCTACTGTTCTACACTGAAGTGCACTTGCAAACATCGCAGACCACCACATGAACACCGACGCAATCCTCTGTTGCTTTTTGCAGGAAGCCCGGGCAAGGGAACAGCCACGTGTTCAGTTCTGCTCGCCTTGGTAACCGAAACCTTTGTGTAGGTTCTCCAGCTGCAGATAGAATAGAAAAGCTGAGAGCACTACGACATCCCCACCCCACTGGTAAAGTCCATTAACCCTGAAGGAGCAGGATAGAACCAATCACAGGGCTGGCCTGGAAAACTCAGAAAAGTCGAGGCTGTCCCCACTCAGAGGGAGCGACTGCACTGGCTAATCGGAAATGCCTCCAAAGTGGCACCGCCGCTGTGCCATATGAGCCCCTCTCAGACTTTGTAAGTTTATATAGATTGGATTTGTAGCTCAAGGATTACCACTCTTGGCTCGGAGACATGCAGGGAACCAATACATATCCAGCACACATCATACAGAGCGGCTCCCTTGATGCGAGACAGAGAGGAGCTCATATTGGGCATGTCAAGAGAGACCCAGAGCTCATCCAAGGGGGGGCCCTGAATGGATCAGCTCTCTGGGAGGAGGCGACAGGATCCCCCAAAAGTGCACTCGTAGCAGGAAATCTAGATCTCTACAAAACCGTGGTCCTATATCCCCCACAAATTAGGATCCAGATGGGTGTTTTTTCAACAATGGCCCTTCTTTATGCACCCTAAATATGAGGCGCCGAGAGACCCAAGAAAGGACCATAATTTTGACAACCACCCATATAAACAGCCCTTATAAAGGCGCAGGGTGTCTTAATCAGGCTTCTGTATTATCCGATGCCGGGACCCAAGCAGGGAGCCTATTTGTCCTCCTCCTCTAGGGCATAAGCGTTTTCAAAAAAGTCCTCCTCCAACTGCACCGCTTGGAGGAACCGCGCCTTATCAGGGTTGCTCGGTTGACGGAGAATAGACAGTGCAATTGAAAAGTGCACTGGTCCCTTCTTGAATGTGCATCTCCTGAAATCTCAAACCTCTATTTTTTATCCTTTCAAACCCTACCAAACGCTATCAAGCCAGCAAAACAGCATGGAAAAAACCCTGCAAAACGAAATGAACAAAGTTTTGGGGACCCTAATTTGACAACTACCCAGATAAATATGCGTCCATAGATACACGCATCAAAGATCGACACCACTGTGCAAGAGACAAAGAGTTTTGCAACATAACAATACAGGATAAAGGACTGTAACAAAAAAACGAAAACGAACAAGTTTGGAACGCAGCAGTTAAGGATAAGTAACTGTCACAAAAAACTCTGAACGAAAACAACCCTAACCCCTAAACCCCTAAAGCCCTAAACCCCTAAACCACAATTCCCTAAATCCCAAACCCTAAACCCCTAAACCCCTAAACTCCTAAACCCCTAAACCCCTAAACTCCCAAACCCCTACACCCCTAAGTCCTAAAACCCTAACCCTAGACCGGCTCTGTCTTGCATTCCGACGCCTTGCAGCGCTCCCGGCCCTCTGCATCCAGGCGCTGGCCCTCCTCGTCGAGCAGCTTTCGCAGGTAGGCGACAACGTCCTCGGGAGCTTGAAAAAAGGGTTTAAGGGTTTAGGGGTTTGGGATTTAAGGATTTAGGGTTTAGGGTTGGGGAGCTTGAAAAAAGGGTTACTACACATCTAAGGGTTGCTAGAAAGGGTGAGCTATAAATTATAAAGGCTACCAGAAGAATTGTAAAGGGGATACTCTAAAGTCTAAGTGTTAGTATACAGGTTGCTATAAAGGCTACCAGATGGGTTTTGGGGTTCAGGCTTACTTAAGGGTTTCGGAAAGGCTGTCGGGTTGAATTTAGGGTGAAGGGTTGGTGAATTGGGGCTTGGGGTTTAGGACTTGGGGCGGCTTCGCGGTGGCTGTTTCGGGCTGCTCCCAAGCATTTTCCAGGAGTAGGGCCGCCAGGGTTGGGGGTTTACGGTAAACCCCATAAAGTTGGAAACTGGATTAAGGCCAAATAGTGATGGGATTTTCTATACAGTACTCTTAAGGATGGAGGCTCTGGGGTTTTCAACTTTTGGGCTTCTACTGTAGGCGGGCCGGGGAGTCTTGGGAATTGTGGTTTTGGGCTTCTCCATCTGTCTGAGTGAGATAAAGCTGCGCAGTACTTTGGTGACTACCTGTTTGGGCGTTTCCGAAGATAGGGGACCCTAATATAGTACTCTACAGGACCCCAAACTAAGGTACCCCCGACTTTTTCGGAAACTCTAAACCCTTATAGAGCCCTTTAAAAGAACCCTTATAGTACCTTTACAGTAACCCTTCTTTAGGAGCCTATGAGGGCACTAGGAGGGTTCCTGTAAGGGGCTGTGACCCAGGTCAAAACTCTTCTGTGACTCTGGGTCCTCGAGGGACGTGTGGAGGTCAATCCACTCGAAGAGGACGAAATTCTCGCGTTTCGCGTCCTAGGGTTTAGGGTTTAGAGTCTGAGGTTTAGGGTTTAGGGTCTAGGGATCTATAGCTTTCTTTCTTTGGTATCATGGGCCCCAAAACCCTGTTCTAGTTATTACGGCCATTACTGGGGGTTCTTGTTAAGGGATTTAGTTTAAGGGATCTATACGGGTTCCTTTAAGGGATCTACAAGGGTTTAAGGGTTAAGGGATTTGGTTTAAGTTACCATAATAGGAATCTATAGTAAATAATAGGGTTTCCTTTATTATGGTAACTTAAGTTGAATCCCTCAACAAGAACCCAGTCCTTGTCCACGATCTTGGACCAGGACAAGTAGGACCACTCACAGACAATGAGGACTGACAGCATTTCCCCAAGGCTTCCGCTCTTTGCTGCATCCCGCATGAGCTGGTCAAAGCCTCTAGGGCACCAAAAAAGCACATAAGCAAAAATTAGGACAGGGATATCCCATATAAACCCCCATATAATGAAGCCCAATAAGGTAGGGAGATCCCTATAAAATGCTTATGCTTATGTTTTTTTTGTGGTCCCTGAGCCTCTGGTGCAGGCTGCATCAGGGATCTTCGAGCGATCCGCTTCTGTACATCGCGGGAGTTCCTGGAAGCAACGTTCGAAATAGGTGTTCTCCTTCCCGGTGATGAGAGCCAGAAACCTGTGTTCTGCTTTAAGTAACCTCATTAGGGCCTAGGGATAGGTATTGCCTCACGCCTTCGATAGCACAATGCCTTGCAGCAAGCTCCTCAACATAAACCCTAAACCCTAAACCCTAAACCCTACAAGAGCCGAGACGCTGGCATCCGGGAATCCGGTCCTCTAAGGACTTTGCATGCGCAATCATGCTCGAGAGCAGTACGACGAAAGCATCCAGGAATCGGTGATCCTGGATGAGATAGCCTGGGTGCTTCTTAAGCAAGGTGACGGAAGTTTTCACAAATCAGCAAGCCTGGGCAGTTTGCCATAAGTCGGCAGCTCAACCTGAATGCCTAAATCCTCAAGAAACCGAAGTCGTATAATATAGGATCCTTAGTAATTTAAATGAGGGTTTTCGGGCCTATTATACCAAAACTATGATAAGAAACCCCAAAAATAGTATTGGTAATTATTGAGGCCCCTATATTAAACAAATTCATGGAAACCCTTACCAAACTCCTTTCTCTCTCCTGCAGAAACCCTTGTAAGTTCCCTAGCAAAAGCCTAGTAGCGCCTAAATCCTGAACCGCTCATAATTCGCACCCTGTCTGCACCCTTGGTAGAGTAACCTCGTAGCACAAGCAGTCCCATGAAAAAACCATCTCTTTCCCAAGAATCCTCCCATTCTGACCAATAAGACAGAAACCAGAATAGGGAACCCCTACACAAGGTATGCCATTTAAGCTACGGGTATTCCTCAACACAAAGCCCAGTAGCGCCTCATCACTTTCAAGTCCAGAGTCCCAGAGGCAAGCTCCTTGGTCCAACGGTGATTAATCACCCGGTCCCATTGCTCACCGGCCGCCTGCCAAATCCAGGTTGGGGGTGGTTTTATTGTTTACCCAGAGAGCCCAATACCCCTTAATTAAGGAATATAGCTTAAATTATATAGGGCTTCATATTATGATTTAAGCTATATTCCTTAATTAAGGGGTATTGGGCTCTCTGGGTAAAGGGGTTAGGGTTTCGGGCTTGAGGGCCGAACTGGGTTTCTCTTCTGTGCTAGGGTGCCCATTTCTTTCGCCCTGCATGTGTTTCGACCTAGGGTTTAGGATTGAGGGTGCGGGATTCACGGGTTTTGGCTTTGGAGTTGAGGGTTCGGGCGTTGAGGAGTAGGGTTTCGCCGGCCTGCCGCAGCTCCTCCGAGAAAGCCATCACCGAACTACCCTAATGAGCCCTTCAAAACTTCTACGGCAAAACCGCAACTTCTTTCGGGCCAGAATCCCCCACGGTCATCCGATGCTCCGGCTATGGGGTTGCCTACTACATACAGAGTCAGTCTACCTGGACGTTTAGAGCTCTTGGCGTTTAGGGTTTTTGAGTTTTGGGGTTCTGGGTCCAACCCAGAGCCATTCAGGGCTTGCGGGAGGCTGCGACGTTGGGTAAGTAGGGCAATGAGCTCCCATGGTGAGCAAAAACTAGTTCTGACTGTAGTTACCTTATCCACAAGCCTACTTACCAAGTCGCAATGATGCACAAGGAAGAGTGGGGTCAGCTTCACGTGCGACACGAAGGGAAGAGGTCCGGGCTGTGATGTAAGTTATGGTCATCACCTTTCAACCAGTCTCCTGACGCACTTGGAACCGCCTTCTTCCAGTTGAAACCCTCAGCTCACCCTCAATCTCTTGTAAGGGAGCATCTTAATCTATCTATATGCAGTTATAGATGTAACTACCCTGCAACCCTACTCGTCCCCTGAACCACGAAGAGGTCCAGCACTCACGCGATGCCTGATCCCCATGCCGAGACGCATGCTTCTTTCCTTCGTCGCTCGTATGGAGACCAAACTGTTAACCTTTGGGATTATACAGGGGGTATAGTACCCCAAGAAGGTCAAGGCTGACCTACTCTACTGCTAAGTTCATCACTGTCGCAGCAGTCACGGTTTCCTCCTGCTCAGTCCCAGTAGTTCGCAATGGCAAGGAAATTCATGCGGGCCTTCGCTGCGAAGCGAAGTCACAGCTTCGGGACTTAGGGGTTTGGGGCTTTGGTTTGGGGTCTAGGGGCTTCGGATTTAGGATCTAGTCTTTAGGGTTTGAGGTTGAGGGAAGCTGAACCCTGAACCCCGAACCCTAAGCCGGTTTCGGGCTCACGGGGTTCAGACTCGCTGTTGGCTCTGAGGGCTTTCACAGGATAATCGCAATAACAATGACAACAAGAATGATAATAGTTGTAACACTAATAACAATAGTCTCTGTCATCAAGATCATACTCATAATATTCTTATAACTCATAGTAATCATGGTCATAATCATAACAATACTTATCATTCTCAGGGTCAGCCCAGGTTTGGGGTTTACAGGGTTCCAGACTCGCGCGACACGAGGTGGTCTTGAGCAAGAGTACTCGGACATGAACCCTGGAAGAAGCTACTACGGAAGGTGCCCGAAATCCTGCATGACTTTGAACATACGGCTCCCTTGCAACCCTCAACTTTAATATTGCTCTGACGCACGGGCCTAAAAAAAGGCCCTTTCGCGAATGCCCCGAATCCTGCATGACCCCATGGGGATGCTACATTGAAATGAAGGGGTTGCGGGGAAGCGGATAGCGCGATATGGAGTATGTAGGATGTTGTGGGTCATGCAGGATTTTGGGCATCAACAGTAGTATGATGGTTGCAACTCACGACAACGCCAGCAGCAAAAGCTGTCCTCAGTGTACTTGGAGGATCATGGGACTTAGTAAGTAAGGTTATAAGTACCTTAATTGGGGTTATAAGTAATAGCTACCCTAATTATAACCCTAGTCACTAAGTCCCATGATCCTTCTAAGGTCCGCTAGGTTCGAAGATCCAGAACTCAAGCGGAAGTTGCGCCGGAAGCATCCCACTTCAAGCGATGCATCCCTTCAAACGATGCATGCTTCCTGCAGAAGCTTCTGCAGTCCAAATCCTAGCACAACGCTACCCCCTTCCGAAGAAACTCCCCTTACAAATCTCTGAGACTCCCAGGCCGAAGTCCCTACGTACGCATCCTGCAAACACCCAAACCGCGGGGTTCAGAATGCAGCATTTTCGCCCCCGTCTGTCACGGTCCTCAGCGACGAAGTGTGCGGCAACATTGTACACCTTGGGCCTGGCAGAGATACAATGACGATGATGATGGCGAAGATGCAAATGAGGGGAATGGTGCATACGATGGCGATTACGCTCTTCATCATAGCCATTTTGTAGCATTGCCGAAGCGGCCTGCGTCTTGCACCACCCGGCGACTCAAGAGGTCGCCCTTCACCAGAATGTCGAATCCCTAAACCTTAAAGCCCTAATGGAGGAGCCTGATTAAGAATCCTTGGATCTTTATGAGGGTTCCTTATATGAATCCTTCTATTTGGGGGTTAGACGCCCAGGGCTTCTTAATCAGGTTCCTACATTAAACCCTAAAACCTGTGCTCATGGAACCCAAGCATTGGAGCCTCCCTTGCCCTTGACGTTGGGGCAGCCATGACAAGAGTGGGGCTTATTTGGGGAGCATAGAAGCGGGCATCCAGAGGCTTTGCGCTACTTTAGCGAGCTTGAACAGCTAAGAAGTTTGGAAGCCATGGCTTCTCTAGTGAGAACTAAATGCATAAGAAAAGCCGGGTACGGTTAAGAGATATCAGAAGTATAACCGTATGATCAAGAAAGCTGGCGCCACCACTGGTAGTCCGACACATTCCGACACCCTTACACCCGCAGGGCCGAGACGCAACAGCCTGAACCCGATCATCTTAAAGAATCCCTACGAACCTATTCAAAAATCCTTTGGCAGACCTCAGTAGCCCTAAAACCCTAAACTCTTCCAAAGGATCTGAGAAGCCCTAAAAAAATGCAGCTCTAAACAGATCCAACCGCAGGTATCTGAGCAGCTCTTCGTGTTGGCTGAGTTCTTGCTAAGGGGTTTAGTTTAAGGCGCCAGAATTGGATCCTCAACAAAAAATAAGCTGGCTTCTATAACGTTTGATAATGGTTTGTATCAGGGTTTCACAAAAAGGTTCGATTAAGGGCTTCTGCACGGGTTTCTCGAAGGGCCAGTATGATCCTACTACAGCATAGGACCTCCAGTGCAAGTTATAACGGTCGAGCAACCTCTGTATGAGATTTACGGCTTCGGGGTTATGTTGCTTTAGGGTCTTGCACTGACGGGAAACCTAATATTAACCCTTATAGTTCTTCATACACCTTCATGTCCGAAACCCCACACATGTTTTCCGCAAAACCTAGAAGCCCCCAAATTCCCACAGCCCTAAGTGCCGAACCCCGCAGGAGCCCTGAACCCTCCAAGACCTAAAACCCCTGAGAAGCCCTGAAAACCCAAGAAAACCCTTGAAGGTCAAATCATCCCAAACCCCAAACCCCAAACCCTAAACTCTAAACCCTAAATCCCAAACGCAACACCACAATTCTCGGCCCCCCCGCGTGCTGAGCTCGTCCCGCTTGCAGAGCAGCTCTTCACCTGCAAAGGAGATAAAAAAGAGGGCCTTGATCATCTGGTTCAGGGTTTTGGGTTTAGGGTTTATGGACTGGGAGAAAAATTAGAGACTGTTACTTCATATGGCTCCTTGAAGGAACAAGTCGAAAAGAAGTAGCCAAGCATGGTTACTCCAGAACCCAGTACTCAGAATAACGGGTACTTCAAGGGCTTGCCCGAAAGGCCTTGATGAAAATCCTCTTGAAGGGCGCTTTTAAGGGTTCGGGTCTATATGGGCTGGTAAGCAAATATTATACCACGGGTATAGGAGGAATTTTAAGGAATAGCATTATTTTAGGTATCTAGATTACCAACAAGAACCCAAAACTTAGAACGGTGCTACCAAATACTAGTTTTAATAGTGCTAATACCCATACGACTACTGCGAACACAAGTAGTAGCACCAATTTTGAGAAGAACAGCAATCGAATAGAAAGCAGTGGGCGGAAAATTGCTTAATTCGGTAGAGCTGGGGGCATTAAAGGGTTTGCGCGGCTGTCGGGTTGTTGGGGCTCAGGGGTGTACATGTGGACTTTGCAACACAGTATCGATTTACTACCCGTATAGTACCCGGTAGTACCTTTGTCATACCCTTTTAGATCCCTGTGATGTGAGTTGCGTCACGAGTGCTCTTGGGCACTGCATCGGGCCCCACTGGAGTTCATACGGTTGATGATACAAATTCTGCATTACCTTAAGGACCCTAAACTGTGGATATAATGGCAAATTCCTTATTGTGGTTAATGCCGGATTTAAACCATCAACAGTAGTTGTACATCTGCCAGCTTTTGCAAAGTAAGGCAGGCTCGCTGGAGCCCCATCGATAAATACCTCGACTTGCTCTGCAAGAATCACGAACAAATCGTACTACGAATTACTGTAGGGGCCTAAATAACTACCAATACTATTGTGGGGTTCCTTACTATGCTTATAGTATCATTGGCCCCAAAACCGTTTTCTAATCTTATCAAACTTTAAAAGCAATGCTCTATTGGCAATGAGTGTATTAGACTCCTGGGGGCAGTTGGCTGGTGCAGGTGGTAGGTGCGGGTGGTACAGATGGAGGTGCGGATAGTGGGTGCACATGGTGCGGATGATGGTGCGGGTGGCGGGTGCAGATGGTGCAGGTGGTGGGATGGTGCGGGTGGCGGGTGCAGATGGTGCAGGTGGTGGGTGCGGGGTGGTGCAAATGGTGGGTGCTGGGTGGTACAGGTTGCGGATGTGAAGCGGAATCAGTGAAGAATTGCAGAATGAATCTGGTAGTCACTGGCACTCACACCACTGTTTTTTCCGCTCGTCCGTGCAGTGCGCTTCACGACTTGCGAACTCCATTCAGCTTCGGAAACCTGATGGTGACAAACATGTCACATGTCGGTAGTCACGAGTCATAGCATGAACACCACACCGATCAAATCGCAGGCAAGAAACGGAATCATGTTGAGCTCCTCGTCCTCGCTCTCCGTCTGCCATCGAAGGATACTCACCAATGCCAAAACCACGGAGGTAATAACCGGCACCGTGAAACTCAGCACGATAGCCACGATCAGTTTGACATGACTCTGACAGTCGCACATCACAAACACATGAACAGGCCAAGAAACCAGTTTCCCGCCAGATCAGCTTGCTGGTGCTCCGTGAGATCCATCACATAATCCAGGTCATGGATCGGATACCCTTGAAGGAGTAGCATCTCCGATCCTGATGTGGCACACAGTCAAGTTTTAAGTGTTGGTTGATCCGAAACGATCCTGGCCGAAGCCGAGTGACCAAGCAGCAGTCTTCCCAAGTCGGTCGACCACAGCTTACTGCCAGGCAGAATGGTTGGCACCACCTGGGCCAACAGGATTCAGAACCTCACGACTGTGACTGTGACTCAACTCAACGCAGACTCTCTCCGACTTAATTCAAGACAGGCACTTTGGAGTCCGTTGTGCTGGTTGGCATACGGTTGACATTCTGCGAAATGTCCACAAACGCAAACATCTTACCATCACCATCTTGGAGCCGCCGCCGCTCGTTCCAGATCTCGACAAAGCATATTGCCTCTCATCTCAGCCGAATCTCAGCATGGTAAACAAACGTAAGTAAACAAATCAACTCAACAGTTCATGGCCTCCTGCTCCCGAGCAGTCAATGTCTTGAACCATTGGTTGTCGCGAAGATAATCAGGTGGCTCCAAAGGCCACATCACACCATCTCAGTGGGATGCCGAGCCGGACCGAACCGATGAACATGACAGAACTGAATCGACTCAAATGACTCAAACTCAAGACTCTCTCTCACTAAGTCTCACACACTGCTCAGCCATAGAGGAGTGCAAAGTCAACCACTTGTCGCTGGGTTTCACAGCCGTCGACTCTGCATCGTCCTCGCCGCTCGCCTTGTCCTTCTTGTTCGCGGCCAGCTCTGCTTGTCGCTGCCTGCGTCCCAGCTCTTCTGCAAGAAGGTGGCGATCATCATCATATAGAATTGCATCCTTACTTATGAATCGTGAAAATAAGAGAGCACAACAAGCCTGCTCAATCAGTGTTCAGATTTGCAACTTGCAACTTGCAACTGAGATGCCACAGAGAGCCTCTCTTCAGCAGGCGTCATCATACGAATAAGCCTGCCATGCAGCTTGGCCAAGATGTCTTCCTTAGACTCTGCCAAAGCAAGAGAGTCTCGAAGACCCACGAAGTAGAGGCGGCATCTCCGCTGCGGTACTCCGTAGTCGGCGGAGTTCAGCTTCTCCACAACAGCATGGTACCCAATCTCCTTCAGCAGGCCAAGAGCAACCTGCACGTTGCTGGACCTGTCAACGCGAATCTAATCTAATCTAACACTGGACTGCGACTGAAAGGCTGAAACCACATAAGCTGTCAGACAGATGCATCGAAGTGACTCTGTGTCGTCGTCACCCGTGTCCATGCTGTCCACATTCTCCAATATGAATGCCATTGGTCGGGCCCGTGACAAAGAGGCACAGACACCTTTGAACGTGTTCACTGATGAACAGTCCTCAGACGCAGCAGCAGCAACAGCAGTCGAGCTCAATAAAATCTCAACACCATCAACTCATGATATGTAAGGAATTGAGTCAAGTCACCGCATCCAGGCTCATTGCTTGGCGAATGGCATCATTGTTCATCCTGCTGAATGTCCTTGGCTTACAAGCATCTGAGAAGACCACACTGTGGCTCGACCGACCGGACATTGATAATCCAAGCAACTTACAGCTGAAGCCTGCGCAGAATATGCTGAAGGCAGACTCATCCTGATTTTCGAAGCATTGTGTGTCCTTGGATGCCGCAATATAGCACTGGGTCACTGACATGCGAAACATCTCCCTAACAGTCCAGACAAACAATAAACAAATTGTGAGCTCAGCAACACATCTCCGGCCATGCCGGTTGCACCATCTCTCATCGTCGTTGTTGATCTTCGTGACGTCGGTGAACACACAACACTGCTCCTGCCAAGCCAAAGTCAATCGATGGTGTTAGTGCTAATGGTAGTGACAGTGGTAGTGGCGGCGGCAGTGATCCTATTATATTTGCGGTCGGGGTCGGGCAGTGGTAGTGATCGTCGTAGGTGTAGAAATAAAAGTAGTAAGTAGTAATTAGTACAAGTAGTAGCAGCTAAAGCAGCAGTAGAAGTAGTTGAAGTAGTGATAGCAGCTAGCAGTAGCAGTAGCAGCAGCAGCAGCAGCAGCAGCAGCAGCAGTAGTAGTAGTAGTAGTAGTAGTAGTAGTAGTAGTAGTAGTAGTAGTAGTGGTGGTAGTAGTAGTAGTAGTAGTAATCAGTAGTAGCAGTAGTAGTAGTCGTAGTAGTAGTAGTAGTAGTAGTAGTAGTAGTAGTAGTAGTAGAGTAGTAGTAGTAGTAAGTAGTAGTAGTGGTGGCAGCTGAAGAACAAGTAGAAGAAGAAACAAACAGCTGTTAGCTTTTCGGAATGACAAGCAGCCCCAGTCCTCGGCATGAACAATATGGTTCATCAGATATTTCTGCTTCCAAGCGTTGCTCTCGCAAACCCAATCCGTTTGCACCTTGAACAGTGCCCAACAGGTTTTCACATTCATACTAACCACAGCATTTCTCTATAATTGAAACTTGAAACATGTGCCCTAGTGGCCCTAGACAACAAGCCAAAGCGCATCGAAATCTTTGTTGAAGAATCTCTGGAGTGCATCGAATGTTGCGTGGGTTGCCCGCTCAAAGCAGCCACTTCCGCTGCAAGCTGAAAGCAAAACAACTTTGCTTGGAAAAGTCTCCAAGTGAACAGACAGCACCTGGTTCGTGATCGCTGCCACAAGCTTTCGTAGCTTGGCCTGACAAGTGGGAATTGCAACAATTGTTAGACTCCCAGCCCCAGCCCACAGACAACTGCACGACTGAGCAAAGCCTAAGATGCCTTGGCCCACCGGACCCATGTTGGCACTACAGTGCCCAAGCCATCAGTGCCATCACTGGAGTAGCCCTCGTCATTGAGGTTGTCGTCAGGGCCGGCAGGCTCCGAAAAATAATCCTCACCACCATCTTCGCTTTCATGGGTCTCATCGTCATTGCCTCGCTTTGTCAAACTATAACTCACAAATCCAAAACACAGAATCAATTGGATCTAAAGTCACATTCAACTGAATTCAACTCAACGGCAACTCAAACTAATTATCGGCTGGCCACTGACATCGGCAGCAGAAGAGGAATACAGAATCTCATGGACACGAGCCCTTTCGCGAACGGCCTCAGCGGACTCCGCTACGATGACATTGCCGGTGTCGTGTCCTTCTTCAGCAACCGGAGCATCTGCTGCTGAACCTGCATCATTGCCGGTGTCTTGTCCAACCGGAGCATCTGCTGCTGAACCTGCATCATTGACGGTGTCTTGTCCAGCCGGAGCATCTGCTGCTGAACCTGCATCATTGCGGGCGTCTTGTCCAGCCGGAGCATCTGCTGCTGAACCTGCAACATTGCTGGCGTCTTGTCCAACCGGAGCATCTGCTGCTGAACCTGCAACATTGCTGGCGTCTTGTCCAACCGGAGCATCTGCTGCTGAACCTGCAACATTGCCAGCGTCTTGTCCAACCGCAGCATCTGTTGAACCTGCACCATTGCCAGTGTCATGTCCGGCTACAGCAACCGCAGCAACTGATGCACATGCACTCTTGCTGGCGCCTTGTCCGGCAGTCTCATCATCTGCTGCACCAGAACCCTTAGCGGCATTTCCGTCGCCGCCAACAGCCCGGACAGCATCATCTGTAGGAGTAGGCACTGTCGCTTCCAGTGTGGCAGAGGCAGGTGCAGGCTCATCGTCCATGAGCTGTGTCTCCAGCTCCGCTATCATGGATGCCTCGATCGCTGGATCCAACTCCGCGGGCGAAGCCGTTGAAGCTGCCGCAGATGAAGCTGCCGCTGCCGCAGATGAGGCTGTCGCAGATGCCTCACCCCGGCAGTATTTCGTCCAGAAGTTGTGAGCATTCTGATCGATTTCATCATCTTCATCCGCTGGCCTTTTCCGGGTTGCTGCTGGTGGCGTCACTACTGTTACCACTCGGCTTTCACCTGTGGCTTCATCCCGACGCTCAATTTGGCGCATATGTGTCTTAGCTTTGGCCGCTGGCTTTGACTTGGCAGGCGGTTTTGCCTTCGCTTTGGCTTTCCCCTTCGGGGCCAGCACAGGAGATTTGGCTTTCGCCTTCGCCATGTTTGTTGCTAGGCTGTGCTACTGATACAGGACTCCAGGCACAAGTTACAAGTTACAAGACCCCTAGCCCTAGGGCCCTAGGATCGCGACTTTCAAGAAACGAACGGACTTAAATGACTATTTCTTGCAAACTGACTCTGACTATAATCTACCACCACAAATGAATCCGACACTCCGGAGCACTAACAGCTGTATGCATCAGCAGCGAACCATCTGGTCGAAACAAAGTAATGACATACCATGCCGCATGCCTGCAGACTGCAGCAATTCATTGCCATTGCGACTGCGACTCAAAACTGTCGGAAACTGACATGATTCGTTGCAGGGCTGAAGCATTTCTCACTACACCGCACCATGCATCTGAGATCTGTGTCATCGAGTCATAAGACTCAGCTATGTTGAATTTGGGCACGAAACTCCGTGAAATGCAACTCAAGGATTTAGCGCAGGACAGTTTGTCTATATGGTACAGTGCGGCCATCCGCCGGGTACGCTTCATCCCAAAGCGTAACTACAGCCTGTCGATAGCGAGCGCACACAAACTAGTCCTGACAACACCGCACTGCCACTGCTGCCTATGGTACCAGGCACTAGGCCCAACAAGATATAAGGGAGTCGGAACGTGTGGGTCCATACGACTTTAACTTTAAGACAAGACTTAAGACTGACTCACCACTCAACTCAACTGTTCAGCATTCAACCGGGAGCTTTAGGATGACATTGATGACAGTGCCTTGCATCTGCTGCGGCTACGAGCAATCAGCAATCGTTCGTCCGCTGCCACTGTAGCCTACGGCTGTACACTACGTCGCTACATGGCTTCCAAGCGGGATTGCCGACGCCTCCAGACTGACTCAACCAACCACCACAGTGTAGACGTAATGGGTTACGTCAAGTGATAAGTATGACATGTGATGCTGAATTGTGATGGCACTGCTGTCATGTCACGATTCTATTTCTTCAATCACGTCACGAATCACGTCATGGTACATTACTGAAGATTGGTGATGAGAGCCTGGATGCATACGGGGAGCTCCGCTCCCTGATCCGACGCGAGTTTCGATGCCTCAGAAAATTGCAGTTGCACTTTTGCATTCGGCTTGCTACCAGTCATCACCGCACGAGAAACTGCTTTCGAGATCAGCACGTAGAGGACGTTGCATGTGGCCATCCACCGGATCGCGTTCGTGTAGCATGTGTTGTAGATGCTCATATCCATGATCTCGGCAATATCCACACTCAATGCTTTCGCAATCTCATTGACATGATCGATAGCAGAACTCAGCTCCGATGTTTTCCCAGCGATATCCTCAGCAACCTTCATGTCAAAGTAGGTTTTCACTGTGTCTGACGAAAGTTGTTCGTAGGATTCCAGCTGATTGACAAACTCAGGCATGTCTAGCTTGCTTTCGGGGATAAGCGCTCCTGAAAGTCGTTCCTTGCATGTCTCTACGATGTTGACAAACTCGGCCTGGCCTTTGTCGATGGCCCGCTGACAAATGGAGGTAGCCTTCGTAATGACATCGGAGGACAGCAGCTTGGTGTTCATCTTGTCCAGCTCAGACACAGATGCCATCAGCTTCTCCAGTGTCAACCTTGTCATTGTCCGGGTGACTTGAATGAACTCATGACGTGATGTGATCAAGGTGTTCTCATCTGCATCCACACATTCAAGTGAACCTTCCAGCACCATGACGTTCAACACAAGAGAGATGGCATCAACCCCGGCAAGAACAGCCTTACCCTCATCACCCAGAACCGTGGAGTACAGCTTGGATGCTTCCACAGCACTCGGAAATTCACCTTGCAGAAGCTCTGCCCCAGCTTTGTCGCCATTCACTGCCTCCGCAAGACAGTTGATGCACACCTTCACACTAGACCAAGCATCATCTTGCACCCCTTGCTGCAACACAGTCGACAGTGTGGAGCTAGTATCAGCCACAGCGGACCTGACACGCTCAACGAGCTCCGTGGCTTGGTCGGATGCTTCAGCTTTGGACACACAAGCTGACAGTGATGCAATCATTGCTTTGGTCTTGACCTCCCAGGTTGTTGGCAGCGCGGCCAACTGTTCTGCTGATTTGTCCGACGAACGGAGTTTGTCATCCGTAGATTTTACGAAGGCACTGATATCCTTGAACATGCCAATCAAAGCTTCCAGTCCGTGTCCGCAGGCATCCGCCAGGTGCATGATGCACGATGATGAATTCATCATTTCCTCAATGGTTCGATGCTTCTCCTTGAGGTTGGATGTCCACAGGTCCAGGTAGGGCAGCATCTCGTAGTTGACGTAGGCCAAGACGATGGCCACGGCTCCGGTCTTGGCCATGGTCTGGACACGCTCCAATTTTTCCCTGTCAGCACCTTTCAAAGATTTCATCTTTTTGTGTGTCACCTTCAACAACGCATCAGAAACCATCTGGCCATGGCTGGCATCGAACCATTTCTTGGTGGTCTCCATGAATGGTGCCTCAATTGTACAAATTGCTGACTTGTAGAGACGCTCTTCCGCATCTGACAACGCATCCAGCACACCTGACACTGACTCCTTGTGGTTTGCATTCGCCACGGCAGCCTCGAACAGCTTCTTGCCCTGCGGCAGCTGGAATGACGAGGCTGCCCAGTGCTTATTGTCCCCATCATCTGCTTTCAGCCTGGCAATGGCGTTCTTGACCACAGTAGGAGATCTGCTGAAGTCAACCACATCCCGGATCGACTTCAGAAAGTCCACATGATCCTCCCGAGTCCAGTGAATGGATTGTGTCTTTTCGGGGTGATCGAGGGCCTTTAGCACAAACGCTTTGAGGTAGGCCGTTGTCTCAGCTGTGATGGGCTTGTTCATGGGAATGGCCTTAAGGAGACGCTGCAGCAACTGTGAAGCGAGAAGCTGAAAGAGTTCAGCGTACTCTTCCGGGACATGCTTGACACACAGGTCATAGGTCTCGGTGAAGAAGGCATCCCACTGTACTAATTTCAATGCATCGAATGCCACTGCTCGCATGACACGTTTCCAGATTGTCGGGCACAAGGACAGCTCCTGAAACTCCGTAATGGCATCGTACAGTGCTCTGCCTTCAGACGTACCAGCTGACAACTTCCGCACAAGGTCAATGATCTTGTTCAGGTCAGTCAGCAGCACATCAAGTTCAGCACTCAAGGTGTTGTCCTTGCTGCGACGGTTGGATGATTTCTTTTTGTTGCCGATCTGTGTCTTCAGCGATGACATCAGCTGCAGCTTGTCCTTGGACCATTCCGAGAATGATGCATCATCATCTGCTGCGCCCACATTCAAGACACAGAACTGGTTGATCTGCTCCTTAAACTTCTCGACAACGTCTGCATCATCACGACACAACTCGCGTGGCTCAGCCTTCTCAGCTGCAGCAGCTGAAGTGCGGAGTGCCTTTGCCTTCGCTGGGGTCACGTTGGGCACTTCAGCCTCTGGTTCTGCTCGCTTGTTGCGTGCCTGACATTTTGCTTTTTTTGCTGCTGGTGCTTTGCCTCCTGGAGCCGTCTGTGGTTTGCCCACCAACGACGTCTGTGCCTTGCCTGCAGCTGCTTTCGCCTTGGCAGACGTTGCTTTCAAGCGACCAAACAAGTCTGCAAATGGCTGGTAAGCTTCATCCTCTTCTTCATCATCACCATCAGAGACCGTGTCCTTCCGAAATACAGCAAAGTCAAACCCCAAAGTTCCCAAAGCTTTGTGTTATGATGAGTTTGGTAGTAGCTGATGTCCAAACGGTATGGGATTATGTTGTTTTACAAATGTGTCCTTGTCACCAGAAGCCGCATCGCCGATGATGTCGTCGGCACTCTTGATGCCAGATGCAGCTGATGACGAGCCAGTCGTAATCACGACGCAGGATGAATCGGGTGCAGATGTCAGCTGTTTAGCCACCGCCGAAAAGATGGTCGCGTTTTGGTCCCTAGACAGTACCAGGTCAGGGTCAGAGAGAGCTGTGGAGCGTGTCACATTGTTGGCCACCTCGTCAATGTACTCGTAGATGCCAATGTCCCCATCTTCAATCACATCTACCCCCTTGATGGCAATACCATCGATGCGCTGAATTTTTACTTTCAGCGGATCAGCAGTACCATGTTTGGCTTCATAGACGTCCAATGCCATAAATTTCCTCTTTGGCTTTTTCAGGCCTTGGGTCTTTGTCTCATTGACCGTCACGTGTTCGGATTGAAAGCCACTGTCCAGCTTCCCAATCCTCAAACTGGGATTCTCAATCTTCCGAAGGATGAATGCATCTTGCTGCTCGAGGAACTTGTGGTTGGCACAGGGATCTGCGTCCAGAGCCTTATCCAAGACTGCCATGGATCCGTAGGTCACCATCCAGCCACCATATGCCGCCACCTGCGCACACCCCACACATGAACCTCTGCATGCACCATGCACCCTGTAGCCTGCACCTCGGCACCTGCACCCTGCACCCTGCACCCCGCACCCTGCACCCTGCACCTGCACCCTGCACCTGCACCCTGCACCTGCACCTGCACCCTGCACCTGCACCCTGCACCTGCACCCTGCACCTGCACCTGCACCCTGCACCTGCACCCATTTAGCATAACAATTTACAAATTTAGCATAACAATTGTTATGCTAAATTTGTAAATTGTTATGCTAAATGGGTGCAGGTGCAGGGTGCAGGTGCAGGTGCAGGGTGCAGGTGCAGGTGCAGGTGCAGGGTGCAGGTGCAGGGTGCAGGTGCAGGGTGCAGGTGCAGGGTGCAGGTGCATGGTGCAGGTGCAGGGTGCAGGGTGCAAGTGCTGCAGATGTACAGTATACAGTAAGCAGATACACAGCACAAACACTGGACTCAATGGATTACTGTAGTTCCCAGTTCCCAGATCAGACACTGCTCACACTGCTTGCCAACACATGGAACAGGGAACTGACACAACGCTGCACAGTCTGGCCCGGCCTTCTTGCAACAGAGACAATGTGGCCCAATGGGTTCACTCAGCTTTCCTCTGCCCCACGCCACACATAATCCCCACGCAGCTTCCTGCGATTTGGATTGATCGTAGCGTGCCCGGCTGGTAGACCACACACCACATCTCTTGCACCGCTTTGCAGTGTAGTTCGCAGGGAGGTCGACGCCTGCAGGCGGTTCCGGAGCAGCTGAGCCTGTCATGGACTGGGAAGCAACAGACCTGGCCGCCGGCATGTGGCTGGCTGCTAGAGAGAGTTCTTGGTGACTCAGTGGATTTGCTGACAGAGCTGTGTAGCTCGAGCTCAAGTATCAACGGCAAGTCAGCAAAGTTCGCCAGCTACCAACTCCCGATCCATGATACAATGATACAGAGTGACTTCACAGCACAGGCACAGGCTTCACCCTTCAACTCTTCAGCAACTTCAGCTGATTCTCACTACTCGCTTCAGACTTCAGAACACTCAGATGGCGCGACCGCTCGGCTGAGCGGCTGAACGACACTTGTTTCAACCCGACGCAACCATCATGAAGGCTTCCGGTGCTAAGTGTGACAACAGTGACAGCGCTGGGCTGTACAAGCTTCAAACAGCCGTGGCTAGTGACTATGATCCACGCGGCATAGACAGAAAGGAATGAAACCTCAGATTTTGCCGTCTCAGAGTCTCAGACAAGCTTGTTTTCAGCACAAGTCTCACTGAACAAAAACTCAACGCGAACTATTGCTGGATATGTTGCATCTGTTTGTGGTCTGCAGCTTTCGAGCGATCACCAATTTTCAATCCAGCTTCCAGCCAGGCCAGTAGAGCAGGTTCGCAATTATCGGGAAGTCTGCGCACAGCCACCATCTGGGAACATTTCGAATGAAGACCTGATGGACTCAGGTCAGGAACTGACATGAATCATGAATCTCATGAATGAATAAACTGCATACTTGATGAACAGAAGCACATGAGCTGAAGTTCTGCCTGAGGGGCTGCACCGCACACTCACCGCATGTGATGATGTGCCCGGTCGTACCTCCGTGATGCGACCTTGCATATGATGCACAACTACTACCTACTACCTACAATAGTCACAGCAAAGACAGATTGCTTGCTGACTGCACAAAACAATCAACGTAATGCAACCGACGCCACCCAGATGTTTTTTTGTAGTGGAATCAGCCGGCACAACAAAGCAGTAGCCTTTTTCATCTTTCCATGGCCTGGACCTATCCGCAGACTCTGCCGGTGCCGGTGACGATGCTTGTTGCTGGTCAGCAGCCGGTGCAGCCCTTGATGAAGATGATGGCTCATGTTCACGATTACGTGGCATATCACCAGCCTCCTCGATAACCGCCTCGACCCAAGTATTCTCAATCTCCTGATCTACTTGGGTAGCCTGATCATGGATGGTGATAGTATGACTGGCGGCGGCGGATGACTTTCGAGGGCCTTGGCGGCTCACGTTGGTTCTACGTTTTTTCTTAGGAGGCTGTTTTGGAGCAATGACACCAGCTGCACGCTTCAGCATCCCATGCAGCTGACCAACAGCGGCTTCCTCCTTGTCAGTGTCCGAGTCGTCTCCTCCGGCGGCTCTGCGTGGGACATGCACAGGGCCACCGCTTCCACCCGCCCGCACAACGGACAGCAGCTCCACAGCATCATCACCATCAAGAACTATTGTTCTCAAGGAAACAGCTCTGTAGCTTGTTGTGGCCAAGACACATCCGCCCACTGCAGCCAGCTCATACAGAAGCTGAGCTTTGCTGCGCAGGGTAACACTCGCATTCGGACTCGCACCGCAGATGTCAGTGTCTACATGAACCGGCAGGTCAGCTTGCAGTGGAAGTCGCATCTGCACAGCTGAGAAGTCAAAGGGAGAAAACGACACACGAGCGAGCAAGTGTACCTGCAGAAGAGCTTTGCTTTGCTCGTTCATCACCATCAAGATACCATGAAAAGGCAAATATCCCTTCTCGCGTCTGACAGATCTCAGACGTCTGAGCAACGCGTTGCATTCAGCCTGAAACACATCGTACCGCTCTCTGACCCTGTCAACAAGCCTGCGGCAAATCCCTGGACAATAGACTGATTGACACGCAGACTCTGAGACAGCCTCATCCCCAGATTCCTGACCGGTGGCGGTGTCTGCACTGACCATCATGGATCCATATGTATTGCGAAAGTGGTGGTGCTTGTCATTAATCCAGTTGCCGCTGTAGGCCGCTCGAGCCTTGTGCAGGTTTGCCTCACTTACCGCGAAGTTCGTGTCTGAGAGTCCTGCAAGGTCGAACTTGGTAATGCTGTAGCTCGGATCGCCCCGCCCGTTTCGATCAGCATCATTAGGAACCAATTCAGCATCGGCATCCGCACCAACAAGCAACTGTTGGCGTTCACGCTCGGCCTTGTTGACAATCTGTGCATTTCGACGCATCTCCTATCAACGCTACGTAATTACTTGGTTGTTAATGTAGTGGTGTGGTATACATCAGCTACGACGTTTGCTTAAGTTTCTGCAAGCACCGAACCACACGAGTGAAAATCTACAGTCTAAAGTCTAAGTCTAAGTCTAACAGTCTAACTCCAACCGATTGACAGAGCTCAAATTAGCTACTGCAGCCACACACATGTATCCTGACCTCCTTCAGACTCGGACTGCTCCTCCATCGTGCAACGGCCTCGTTCCACACACGCTTGCGGGAGTCCTCTGAGCTTTCTCCGGACTCCGTCACCTGCTGCATGCAAAATGACATCTTCTCAATTTATTTCAATCCTATCCTAAACCAATTCCCTATCCCTGTCGCCTTCTTCTGCAAGCAGTTCGCCATGTAGAATGTGAAACCATTGTATTGCTTGGGTTTGTCCTGGATCGCATCTCCTGAAACTTGGGCACCCATCAGAAAACTGCAACACAATGCTCGACTCAAACGTCAATCAGACTCTCAGACTCTCAGACAGATAAACCACATCAGTGTTCCTGCCACATTGGATCCGGTCGAACCGGAAGTGTTTGCTTGGCCCAAGCAATGCCGATGATGTTCCTTCTGGATCTCGGTCAAGATGAACTTTGCTGCCTTTGCATGCGCTTCAACACCGACCTAACTGACATAAATGCACAATAACTTGCTGCACGCTTCCATCACTTCCATCAATCAATTGACAGCCTGACTAAACTTTCTTTCACACAGAACTTGCAACACCGTAACATCACCAGGCATCCCCATCATACAAGTTGCCATTCCGGCAATGCCTTGTCCACGGCCACGGGTGGACCTCAGGCGGCTGTTTCTTTATGGCTACAGCTACAGCAGACGCACAGAGAACATGATAATTAATAATGTGCCAAGTTGCGCACGTTGTGAAGCGGCACGAGCAAAGTTCGTTTCAATTTCCGCGTTTATCATTTTTCGCATGCTCGACGTTCTGACCTCTGCCAGCAATTGAATGGGTTCAAGTCTGAAGGAACCCGGAACTACCACGAACAGTGTATGATTATGAATCGCAGGCAAACAAACGTATCATCTTGTACTTGTTGTAGGACTCGGACCAGAGGGTACAACTGCCCACCAGGAAGTAGATCTTCGGGGCCGTGTTCGTTTGCCTTGTACATCAGCTCACAACGAGTGAGATTCCATGAATGACTCAGACTCTCAGACCAACAACATGTGCCTGGCCTGCATGAACGTCCGAAGCTTTGCTGAGAAATGCTTGTCTAAGCAACATAGATTTGCTTGACAGAACTCAGTCGCCACCTTCCGCTTCTCATCATCGGACAGCGTGTCGTCCAGGATCAATGAAAGCTTCATCGGCCAAACCTCAGACTCAGTCTGTACTGTCTGTACTCATGATTCATGATATGTGCCGCACATGGCCGTGTCAACTCGGTCGCACCAATCAACGACTGGCTCACCTGGAATGGTAGCACGAGCCGATGCCACGTGTGCCCCATGATGGAGTGGAGGCTGAAATGCGCCATCTGGATATCATCAGCATCCAAGCCTTGAAAACTCTTAGCAGCTTCCGGCCCGTGCGACAATGGCATGTATGATTCACAATCCCAGCGACTTGAACTGCCAATAACCGTAACTCACCGTGGTCGTGAGACGTGCCTTCAAGAAGTTTCGGAGTCTGCAGCATCATATCTGCATACTCTCGAATAGCCCTCGCTGCTGGTGACCTGATAGATGACGTCATCGCCACAGCCGGCAGTGACGCAGGATCGTCAGCAAGCCATTGATGGTTCGATGACTCCTTGAAGAATTTGAACCTGAGGTGAGTACTAGTGAGTACATCGCATCAATATCTCACGGCAAACCCACTTGCAGCTATTTCCGGACCAGGCACTGTATTCGCTCAACTGGCGCGATCATGATTGATGCAACCTTCAAGCTGGACATCAAGGTTGGTCTCTTGAGGAGCGATGACACGCGTCTTGCACGTGTCCTCTGGACCCGATGATAGTCATCAGACCCCGTCCCCGCAGAATCATTGACGATGCCGGCTGCGAGCGCCTGCCACAAGGTCTGTTCATGAGTAATCAGAATCAGAATGTAAGTACTGCCAGCAACATGTGGAGTGAGCCTTGCAACTCTGCCCGAATCACAAGTCGTTGAATTTTTTCACTGAGCTGCCACTCGCTGCGGCTACAAGATTCGTTGCGGCTGCAACCAAAAGCTCTCCGAGCAGGTGGCACATAACATGCTTGGCTTAGCTGCTTAGCTGTAGCTGACTAAGCTGCCCTAGCTTGTGCCAATGACACATGTGCCACATCAGAATGCTGAGCATGTCATGTCAGCCGACCACCGGAGAGCGGGATCGCGACCGGTGTCCTACTACCTCGTCATTGGCAAATGCGCTGCTCTCGCTTTCCTCACCTTCTGCCCGATGATCCATTATCAGAGGCGGAGCTGTAGCCGAATATCCGACCGGCCTTGCATACGATCGCACTTGCATCGAAAATGCTTCAATGACTTGACTAGACTCGAACAAATTGTGAAAGACAGTAACCTGAACCTGAACGTTGGGCTCCGGAAGTTGAAAGTCAATAGTAAGCGGCTATCGAACCACTCTATTGCTGGGTTCTGTGACATGCGCAAAAGTCTTAAGTCATGCGTCATAAGTTATAAGTATAAGCCAAGCATCGTGGGAGGAGGCGGGCCAGCAGGCAGAGCCAATTCGGGATACCGTCGCCCCAGCTGTTCAAAGTGGTTCCTGAGCCTGATCTGGTTCTCTTCGATGTTCTTGAACTTGTTGATCGCCCAGTCCATGAACCGATGGCTCCGGTCGATAAAGGCTGCCATATCAACCGCTTCAACACCAGGTGCGATCGGCGCGGTCACCGTTGAGCCACCTGTTGAACCGGCAGTTGGGACCGAGCCGCCTGACGCAGGCGGAGGCTCCTCAGCTGCCTCAGCCTGCACATGTTGCGCAACCGTACGCCTGTCTGGCGAATCCTCGGCGGCCGCAACACTCTCATGCATGGCCGCGCCATCATCAGCCATAACCACTCCCAAAAACCTAGCAGCTGTCCGCCGCCAGCAAAAGGGAACCCCAGCTGAGATAAGCCGCAACACTGCCACTCACAGACTCACACGTGATTGCATATGGTTGATGACTAGTCTCACTGGGCTGCAAGCGCTGAAAGTGGTCTGACAGAATTACACCCGGCTGGCCTCTCTGGCAACGGAGGCATCGGAAGCATAGAGTCGCCGCCAAGCATGCGCCAGCAATCCGTGGAAGCCTGCCGTTAGCATGACCCATCGGCTCGTTGCAGCACACGTCAGCCAGCGCGACAAAACCGGCACATCGGGTCTTGTCGCAAAAACCACGTCGAGAATTGCATACCACATCTTGCGACCTCGGCAATGTAAACCCCAACTGATGCAACTGTAGATTTCGATTCTTGGGCCCCTGCGCGATTCAGCCACATTCTTGCAGCAGCCGAATCGGCAATGATGAACGATCTTCGGCGATCTCCAATCCTGAAACCCGTTATTTCCCAAACTATCACTTGGTGGCTGTTCAGAATTGAGGACCACACCCCATTAGCCATTTTGAGCAGCACCTCCATGTTGTGTCCCCGGAGACTGTCTGCGTCAGCATTGGTTCCGATGCGAGCACCTCAACGAAAGTTATGAAGACGTACGTGTATAAGTGTAGAAGCCCCAAGTGTGACCGAGCACTGCACAACATTTCAATGACTCATTCAAGAATTGCCTCGCATATTCTTGATTTTCGGCAGAAGGCCTCATCAATTCTATTGCAAGGGACACACACAACTCCCTCGAGCATGACAACATCTAAGAGGAGATGCAGTAAGCTCAGGACGGCTCGTAGGATATCTCTGTTTTCTCGACAATCTCACGGCATTGCACCAGCAATTCGTAGAAGAGGCTCCCCTGCCGCAAGATCGATGCAAAGCAAAACCTTAGCAGATACAATCAAGTCCAATGTGTTTCACAGATTCAGGGTTGAGGCAACGACATGCTAAGGAGTCAAGGAATAAGGACCACACAGGTCTGGTAGGACGTCCAGCGTCTTCCATAGAATCTCAGACGTCAGATTCGCTTGATGCCTGACTCGGGCGATCACTAGCTCAGCACCACTGACGAAAAGCCAGATTTCATGCAAGCGGCATCATACATCTCTGAGTCATCACCTGTCAGATGCCACAACCGACCGGCAGCGGACCCGACTCAACAATCCGAAAATTGCATCAGGGGCGCCAAGGCATTGGGCGGGCATCGTTCACCATGATCGAAGATCATACGTAGGTTGGCCGACGCTGAATCACACACGAAGCAATTGACAAGGAGCTTGCACCGACTTGCCAAACCTCAGCAATGTCTGAAAATCTGCAGCCGCAACTCATGGCACAACTCAGATGGCCGAAAATGCTGCACGGACACTCATCGGAGATACCGGCTGCGTTTGCTCGATACCCTTCCATAAAGATGCAGCCGTCTTCCGTTGCAGCACAGCCGGTGGATTCACCACCTGAGAGCTATTATGCTACTTATGTCAACGTGAGAGTCTGGTCAGTCGGGACGATCGCTGAGGCATGCACAAACTTACAGTTGGTCCTCTGGCCTGCAGGATCAGTCACCAGCAGCGTTGCCCGCGACACCTTGGTAACATCGAACAGCTTCAATGTTCTCTATGTTCTCTGACAGGAAAATATGGACTGTCTTGATCTCGGAACTCAGAAGCATCACATGTATCGTTTTCAGGCAAGCTGCCAAAACAGACAGAGTTGTGTTCGTTTCGGCGCTGGCCTGCTCGTTTCGAAGACGAAGTATCTGGCCAGTTTCATCAAACTCAAGCTGATAGCCGATCGTGGACATGGGATCCTGCATCAGCATTGGAGCTGTTAGAAACCATCCGTATGCCGTATGCAGCAGCCTGAAACTATCTCTGGTCCTCCGATGTCAAGCCCTCAAATCCACGTCGCTGTTCGTCCAGATAGAAATCACACAGCGAATTCCTTGCCTGCGGCCCATAGTGATTCAATAGACGGGTGACGGATTGACTGCGACTCAAAGAGAAAACCTTAACAGACTCATAACGACGTGTAGTTCAGTAATTCCACAATTCCCAATTCCCACTGACTGATCCCACTAGGCCTTCGCAATCGAGTCCGTGCCAACACCCATCCAGAATGCCAGGCTGTTCAGGGAAAACCTTGGATGGCCGTGACAGAAGGTCTAGCGGCTACTTCGTGACAAGACAACAAGTCAGCAAGTACACAATTACCAGTGCCGGCAGTGAACATTGTTGGCGACTTGCTCAGCAATTTCGGAAGCACATGCGTGCCGTCCTTGGTGACCTTGAGAATACTTGCAGTCGATCTTCCAAGCCTAAGTATCAACATATCTAGCGCCCCAAAGCCGTCGCTGCTACCGACTCGCGGCAGTCTCAGCTATCCTGTGCGAGGCCCGGACGACACCCGAAGGATTGCTGCCGATGTCCACGACTTCCACTGGCCTGTCGTTCATGCATAATTTAGCTTGACTGGACGCGACTCAGATACTCAGATGATGCATGACTTTGCACGTGTGCCGCACGCACCCAGCCTCTCCCCTTCACCTTGTCGCTTTGCTTGGCGTCGACATCTATAATGTCCCGCTGATGAACTGCATGGTTCTCATTGGTCCGTTGAATCTTGGTCCTGAAATCATGTATATTGACATTGGTAATTGGAAACTGGTAGACTGAAAGATAGCAACTCTAAACTGGGGCGGTCCTGACCCTATCCAAGAAGGAGCCCACTCTGACTTCCAGGCGCTTTCGTTCTCTGCCTGCCCCGCACGAATGAACTGCGTGGCAAAACTGTCGTAAGCCAGCTACCGATTGACCGTCAACCACCCCGCCTGCACGAGCCAATGCACACACGCTATGCTGTGGATGCTTCGGCTGCGCACGAACTGCATGCCGTGCCGCTTGCTGAGCTGCTCTGAATAAGCGTGTAGCAGCTGGCACCATTGCATCAGAGCCATCACCGGACATGGCAACATTAAAATTATGGTCACTGACCGAATCGTAATTCATATCATTGTCACTAACTGCCACTATGTTATTAGTTGTATGAGCATCGAACTCGCCAGGCAGCTGATTGTACTCCTGAATGTCCACTGGGCCTCGCCTCGAGACCACTCGGCCGCGGCTGATGCACCCCATGCGTACCTAACGCCTACACCCCTTGAACCTGAAACCCGCACCCTACACTTATAACACTTGTGGTCACCTGCACCCTACGCACCTAACACCCGCACCCTTTGCACCTCATACCCGCACCCTTTGCACCTAACACCCGCACCCTACGCACCGAATACCCGCACCCTACCCGCACCCTACCCGCACCATCTGCACCTAACACCCGCACCCTACGCACCTAGCCTTGCACCTAACACCCGCACCCTACGCACCTAACACCTGCACCCATGCACCTAATACATACGCACCCTCACGTGTGCATACCATAGACATCATACCTTTCATTGCTCTTGAAGTTTGATAATTCTAATCATTAACGCCACTACCATCTAGAACCCTGTTATAGATAGAACCCTTTAAAGGAACCTCAAAAGGGAACCTATTCCAATTCTTAAGGCCCCTACCATATAGAACCCTATTATAAAACAATCCCTCATAGAACCCTTTGAAGGAACCCAAAAAAGGGACCCTTTTCTAATTCTTTAGGGCCCTATATTTCTAGTCAGTGCGGAGGCTCAAGGAGGCTGACGATTTGTTACCTTAGGGCTCAAGGCTTGAGGGCGAAGCCACCGGAACCACAACTAAAATTTCAGGGCTCCACAGTGCTTGCACGATGGGGTTCTTACGTTCAGAGTAAAGGAATTGGTTGCGGGCCACAACGGCGCACGCGCACCAATTTCAGTGCTCCCGCATGTGGTTTCGCGCGACTTTGCGTTTCGACGCTCCCGCTGTAGTTTCGTAAGAATTCCCTTGCGTTTCAATGCTACCGCTGTGGTTTCGCGCGACTTCCGGCCTCCTCTGGTTTGCTCCGGCCTCTTCTGGGGGCCCGCTTAGCCTGCGGGCCGCAACGGCGCACGCGGTGGGGCGCGACCTTCGTTTCGACGCTCCCGCTGTGGTTTCGCGCGACTTCTGCGTTTCGACGCTCCCGCTGTGGTTTCGTGCGAATTCCCTTGCGATTCAATGCTACCGCTGTGGTTTCGCGCGACTCCCGGCCTCTTCTGGCCTGCTCCGGCCTTTTGTGGGGGCCCGCTTAGCTTGCGGGTCCCAACGGCGCACGCGGTGGGGCGCGACCTTCGTTTCGACGCTCCCGCTGTGGTTTCGCGCGAATTTCCTTGCGTTTCAATGCTCCCACTGTGGTGTCGCGCGAATTCCCTTGCGTTTCAATGCTACCGCTGTCGTTTCGCGCGACTTCCGGCCTCCTCTGGTTTGCTCCGGCCTCTTCTGGGGGCCCGCTTAGCCTGAGGGCCGCAACGGCGCACGCGGTGGGGCGCGACCTTCGTTTCGACGCTCCCGCTGTGGTTTCGCGCGAATTTCCTTGCGTTTCAATGCTCCCGCTGTGGTTTCGTGCGAATTCCCTTGCGTTTCAATGCTCCTGCTTTGGTTTCGCGCGACTTCCAGCCTCTTCGTCGGCCCCTTCTGGCCTCCTTTGGCCTCTTCTGTTCACTGTTTGGGGTCTATGCCGGCATAATTTTTGGTGCTGCAACGCGTGCGGAAGGGAACTGAAGGATCTGACTCGGTGCTTTCCCGGCGCAATGTACTTTAAAGCGCCAAAGCCCAAAACCCAACAGAATCCATTCCCAAAGCCACCCAAAACCCGATACGCAAAACCCTGAATGCCTAACGTTCGTTTCTTACGATCCCCTTAAACATCCCATAGAACCTGACAAAGGCCGCAACTCTATGAACGCCCGTGGCTACCTATGCAGCTCCAAGGTCCGGGCAAGCATCGTTGGCTCCGAACTCGTACACAAAGGACCTGGCAACGGCCGGAATCGAGCTCCTTTAAAGGGGTCTACAGGGGGTTCTGCAGTAATTAGGGATCTATACTATTGGGGCCGTAATATTGGATGTTGCATCCTACGATCTGCCGAGTCTAGGCTCATTTCCCTGTTGCAGTTTCGGCCCAACCTGAGGTAAGTGGAGATTTCAAGAGGTGTGAGTCTGAACCTAGAACCTCCTCCAGGAAGCAGTCGCAACAACCGCTATCGCATCGTCGGTCGACCTATCCCTGAAAACATGCTCAATACAGCCTGGACAGCCTGTTTCGACAGGTGCTCCTGTCTCAGATCTGAGACCTCGACGTGCCGGAGCGCTGATTGGCCACCTGTTTGCGAAGATCAAGCAGGGGACTTAGTCCGTGTAAGGCTATATTATAAGCGCTCTAATTGGGATTATGAGCAATTATGGCTATAGCTACCCTGGGCAAATATGGTTGTTTTACCCCATTCATAACCCGCCTTACTCCCCTGAGCCTTTCATCTAAACCGCAAGACCGCAAGAAAGCCTGGAATCTGTCTGGCCAAACCCTCAAGTCAACCCGAACCCCGAAAAGACCAAACGGCCTGAAAAACCTCTGAACCCTGAGCCCCTTCACTATAAGGCCGCCTGTGAAACAGCGGCACAAGCCCTGCCCAACAGTAAAGAGTAAACCCTTGAAGCCCGAAACATCCCTAAGGCCCTGAAAGAAACACTTTTCAACAAGAGAGAGAGAGAGAGAGAGAGAAGGAGAAGGAGAAGGAGAAGGAGAAGGAGAAGGAGAAGGAGAAGGAGAAGGAGAAGGAGAAGGAGAAGGAGAAGGAGAAGGAGAAGGAGAAGGAGAAGGAGACGGAGAAGGAGAAGGAGAAGGAGAAGGAGAAGGAGAAGGAGAAGGAGAAGGAGAAGGAGACGGAGACGGAGACGGAGACGGAGACGGAGACGGAGACGGAGACGGAGACGGAGACGGAGACGGAGACGGAGACGGAGAAGGAGAAGGAGAAGGAGAAGGAGAAGGAGAAGGAGAAGGAGAAGGAGAAGGAGAAGGAGAAGGAGAAGGAGAAGGAGACGGAGACGGAGACGGAGACGGAGACGGAGACGGAGACGGAGACGGAGACGGAGACGGAGACGGAGACGGAGACGGAGACGGAGAAGGAGAAGGAGAAGGAGAAGGAGAAGGAGAAGGAGAAGGAGACGGAGACGGAGATGCAGACGGAGACGGAGACGGAGACGGAGACGGAGACGGAGAAGGAGAAGGAGAAGGAGAAGGAGAAGGGAGAAGGAGAAGGAGAAGGAGAAGGAGAAGGAGACGGAGACGGAGAAGGAGAAGGAGAAGGAGAAGGAGAAGGAGAAGGAGAAGGAGAAGGAGAAGGAGAAGGAGAGAGATGCACGTATAGCTATATACATATGTATATATACATAGACATCCCAACATACACAAACATGTCCATAGAAATATTACGCACATACATGCCTACATACACACCTTCTGTCCTGTTTTGAAATAGCTCAACGCCCCAGACATTCGCCTGCAAAAACCCACCCCGAAGCTCCGGGAAGAGCTCTGAGGTCCTAAACCCTACAATAAACCCCTAAACCCCTAAACCCCTGAACCCCTGAACCCCCAAACCCCTAAACCCCTAAAACCCTAAAGCCCTAAACCCCTAAACCCCTAAACCCCTAACCCTAAAGCCCTAAACCCCCAAACCCCTAACCCTAAAGCCCTAAGCCCTAAAACCCTAAACCCCTAAACCCCGAAAGCCCGAAACCCCTGAAACCCCTGAACCCCTAAACCCCTAAAGCCCTAAACGCGAAACTCTGAGGTCCGAGCCAAGAGCTTTGGCGCAGAGGACAGGTTCAAGAGCTCCGCCTTATAGGATTCTTTACACCAAGAGACTCCGATATCCCTTAATTAAGGACTATACCTTAAAATTTGCTGGGATCCGCAAATATGGCTTAATTTAGGGAATATCCCTTAACTAAGGAATATACCTTAAATTATAGCAGGATCCCTAATATGATCCAAGGAATGTTCCTTAGTTCAGGGATATGGGAGTTTCCGAGAATAGGGGACCCCAATCAAGTACCCTATATGGTCGGCTCCTTACTACAAGGCCCCCAAAATAAGGTGCCCCTAACGTTCGGAAACTCCCCAACCCCTAAACCCTTCAAAGAACCTTTATAGATTCCAGAAAGGAACCCTGATAGGATCCCTGTAAAGGCACCCCCTAATTTTCGGAACCTCCCATATTGGAGTCTCTGGGTATGTGGGTTCAGACCTGTTGGGTTTGGGGTTTGGGGCGGAATGTAGCGGATTTTAATAATTAAAACAGGGTCCCTTTCTAGGGTTCCTTTACAGGGTTCTGTTAGGGATCTAGGGGGCTTAATAATTAGAAAATGGTTTTTGGGGCTCATTATACGATACTTAAGTAGGAACCCCCAAAAAGAAGTATATGCAATTATTCAGGCCCCGATTGCATTCTTAGATCTGGGTGTAGGGTTTTGAGTGGTTTAGGTATTTTGTGTTTGGGATTGTTCCATTACAGTGTGGGTGGCTGGGTTGTGTGTGTGTGTGGGGAACCCAAACTACTACGGGACAGTGACGTTGGGAATTGCGAACAAGAAATGTGATCATGCAGGGGGTGCCAGGGGATTGCAGAAGGCTGGCACCAACGAAGACCTTTCTGCTTTCCTGTGAAATCGACTTGGGACGCCAAGTTGACGTACCTGCAGCTTGTGACGTCCTCAATCCTACAAGCGGTGCAATGTTTCATCCTTCCTATATTCGCTGTGCAATGCTTTCAGCTTATTCGTCGGCGGTGAAGAGTGAGATCCAGGCATCAGGTAACAGGTGCTCCTTGGCTTCTTTCGGTATTAAATCGCAGCAATGCAACCAGAGACTCTTGAAGCCCCACCGACAATGTTTTCCTTTGAAGTTTCTCATCGGAGTCTTGAACTCAATGATGAGTGAAGTTGACCACGAATGAACATTCCACCAGGGCAGCCTGGGTGTTCAAGTGTGTGTGTGTGT